ATAATACGGTGAGGAGCTCGAAAAATAAATTTGAGGTGATTTTTAACTATTTGAGCGTGATTTTATTTTGCTTCGAACATTGTCAATGGGGGACGACCCCGGCCAAACCTTATTTCCGTTTTATTTCAGGTTCGACAGACATTCAAGAAGAGTTTCGGCAACCGAATTAGGCAACATAGTAGCGATACAATGGGAAATGAAACTATAGGCCTAACTACGAGTACAGCAAAGTGAATGGTCAATGGTTATAGTTAATTAATGGTCATGTATTTTTATAGCGCCTTCTGAATTAAGCAACATAAACTATATTATAAGCGATACAATAATGGGAAACAAATCTATAGGCCTAACTACGAGTACAGCAAAGTGCGTAGCCAGTGGTCAATGGTCATGTGTTTTTATAGCGCCTTCCCAGCGCTTTAAAGAAATACTTCAGTGAGTTCTAGAGGGCTTCTCTGAGCCCTGGAATCTTCGAGAGTCTAGACAGTATATCCAGATTTACCAGTAAATAATTAACGTTACGGCACGTTTTAAATAAACGTCCACGCCACATTAATCATCCGTATTCAGACGCCTGTATAGCAAACAGGAGGTCAGAGTTTTACCGCTGTAGTTGGGGGTGATTATTCTATATCTCTATTTTTGTGTTGCTTAGCAATCGGACTATCACTTTCAATGTTTTCTCTGCTTTACCACAGTTAGTTAACCTTAACCAGGTTTTAATAATTTTGTGTTTCGAACCTTATACAATCTGCTGCCTATTAACGGTGCACTGAGATCTTTAAAAAATGATTTATTTGTAGTTTATATAAATTGTAGTTTTTTTTTTTTAGCTCCAATCCGCTTTTGTCTTTTTGCATGCTCTCTCTGTTTTGTCATTCTATTACTTATGATTGACTTTTAAAATATAGGCCCTATTGGCTAATTATATGCCAACTCTATTAGAGCTTATTATCCAGTAAGTTAGTGGAATAAAATAAATGTTTAACCCAGATTATAACTGTACCGGAGATCATTAAAGATTGATGATACAGTTTTTAATAAGAATATTTGAAATAAACTGCCCCAGTTAGATCAAAATCAAGGTCGCCAATACAGCCATGATAATAAGCTGTTCTTAAGATAGTATTTTTATGATTATGAGAGTTGGTAAGGCGGTGCTGTTTTAGTCATCATGTACTAAATTGAGTACGATATAAGGAAGAAAAATTATTGTTACGATTTACCGCCACCAGGCGCCTGCACAAATAATGGACAATCGTAGTTCTCTAGTTATCACCAAGAGCGTTTTTTGAACTCCTTTTAAAATAATGTAAAATAATGATTTTAATTAAAATATTGTAAGATAATGAGTTTAATTTAAAAATTGTAAAATAATGATTTTACACTAAAACGAATCGAAAATATTGAACGAGGATTTGTCACTACAAAAGCAACACACGGCTGAATCACTATTATGTAAATTGCGTTATAACAGTACTGTGGAAGGTAGTAATTCAGTAGGTAAGTGGAATGTGTACCATTTCAGTGATTGTCTGTCGTCTGTATTCTTTACTTTTTGTGTAAAAACTATAATCAAATTTTCAATTTTTAGCTTACAAATAATTGTCTCAATAAAAATGTGTCTTGTATTCACAAAAAAGATGAAGGGTTTCGTAGAACATTTTGTACGGTGTGGGCGCAAACACAGCCTGACAGCCTTATTTGCGGCCTTCCTCTATTGAGATTAAAATTTTAGTAAATTTAGTAATTTAGTGGCAGGCCCAGCTATAGCTAACTAGTAATGTTCCAGTAGCAATCATCCGATGTATTTGGGCACGCCATATAATTACATTCAGAAATTTATGCTGCCTTTTTGGCGTTCCATATTTCTTAAGTTGCAGAGAGTAGCGGCGCTATACTCTATTTATTGCAAGTTAAGCAGAGCATGCAGACGATTAGTATGCGAGGCAAGCCTGCACATACAAACACTGATTTTCTACAATGATTTCCTAATTAAGTACGTACTTTACTCCCTTGTGATTATGTTTTGATTTTACATTTATATTAACATCATTCAGGAGGCTAGGCCAGACTCCTACCCTATGCGTAAACTAGATTTAACCAGGTCAAGGCCTAGGCCTAGTAGTAGGGCCTAAGCTAGCTAGGCCTAGGCTAGGATCGAACGGTAAACAAATTTAGCTAACTAACTAAGAAGGAGGCCCAACCAAGAAATAACAAAGGCATAGGCCTAGGCCCTGGGCCTAGAGCATCTTCATTACCTAACACCTAAGTAGGCCTATTCTATAGTAGGATTGAGCAGGTCAGGCCCCAATGTTCAGTAAAATAAGCTGCTAGTGTTTAGACAAAGCTAGGCTTGACAGAAATTTTTATTACGGCCATCATTGACCATCTGTAAAAAAAAAATAAAAAATAGAAAACCAAGCATTAAGCAGTGTATGAAGTTGTTTCTAGAAGCATCAAATTGTGGGTGTGGCTCTTGGTGTTAAATCAAAAATTCACTTTGGCCATCAGACCAATTTATTCCCACCCCTGTTATGTTGACATTTTATACTATGGTAAAGTGACTAAGTAAAACATCTAGCTGCTAATACCTCAGCCAATCACATAATTTTCTAGAAGGACATGGGAACCTACCTGTAGGCCTTTATTGATTGATACAGTATTAATATAACCTATAAACTTTTCTTGATTACGATTGGCAGAAAGTTGTGGTTGTGATTGGTGCAGTATGTCGAAACAACCAAAGGATGGTCTGCGTCAGAAGATTATGTACCTCTTCAAAGGTCCAAGAACATCGAGCATACCAAGTGCATCTGGTATACAATCAAAATCAGAGGAATTTATCATAACAGAAGACAGACTCAGAGTAAGTTGAAGTTTATATGGGCATACAAAAGGTCTTTGTTATCATTTTGTTTAATTGGAATGTTTAAAAATAACAGATTATTCATAATGTGGTTCTTTTTTATGATTTTTTTTAACAGGATATCTCACCTGAATCACACCTCAATCATAGGATCAAAGCAATAAAGGAGCTCTGCGATGTGGTAACAACTAAACGATTAGAAGACGTAAGTTATGGACATTAGAAAGGGAAAGGAAGGCAGCTAGTAGTAGTAGTATCTAGGCTTGACAGCTAGAGGCAGACAAGCAAACCATTTTTCTTGAAGATGTATATGTTTCGATGTTTTTCGATTTGTAAGATCTATGTATTCCATGAAATTTTTAGTCTTTTTTATGAGATTGAGCTAAATTATGAAATTCATCTCAAGTTGAATAATTACCTCAACCAAGGATGGTATATATTTGTAGCTGTCTATCTGTTTGTCTGCCTTTCTCTCTTTCTGTTAGCATGATTATGCAAAAGCTAATGATTGGATCATCATGCAACCACAACAATAATCGTATTTGAATAATTTTATCTGTTTTGCTTATAATGACTCTAATTATAACATTAACGAAAGCTCACAGTAAGTTTACATTAATTTGCACTTGGTTTATTATCAATTAATTATTTTTACAAGTAACAACCACCATCATTTCACAATGTTTTTCCCAATTCATGGGGCTTTACAGGTTAATACATCTGGCGAAACCCTGTTGACCGGGACGAAAGCTTTTGAAATAAATATGAATGTAAATACGGCCGCCTACTCTCGCAAGCAATAATCTCCTTAAAATCAACCAATCGTCCACAAATTCTTAATATTTGCAATTTTTACTACTATACAGTTCATTTCATTTTAAATCTTATCTTTTATCAGAATGCTATTGAGGCTTTGTGGGTGAGGATAGCAGACTTGCTGGAGCCACAGGCCCCAGCAGAATGCCGTCAGCTTGTTCTGGGTTTCATGAAGGCCACTATTATTGGTCAGGTAGATTTTTTTATGTCAGTTTGAAAATACTCACTCACCCACTCACTCACTGACTCACTTAGACTGGTGGAATCCCTGAACCACAGTGGCTTTCCAGAGGTGTCCTTCATAGCAGTCTTGAGATCCTATGTAAATACAGGTTGAACCTACTGTACAGTATATGAGGTTTGCGGATGCACACTCCCCAAAAAAATATTCAATACTCCATGTCACCCCCAACCCCCCCCCCCCAAAAAAAATCATGTTCAAGTAGTTAAAAATCAACTAAAATCACCTTGATTTGCAAGTTGTTCCCTCTCACCTAATCTTTGAGACTCACACTTTGTGTTGCCTCTTTTCTCTTTCTTTTCCCTATATAACTAAGCAATAATTTTAGTTGACTCTTAGTTAGTGCTGAACTCTGGAGATCTATAGGTCCCCTGGTCTAATTCCCATCACTGTTCTTGTGTTTCAGCTGGTGGGCTGAAATGCAAGTTACGATAGTGCACTGTCTTTGGGATAAGATGTTTAATCTGTTGGTCCTGTGTGCATTATGGCCCTTGTGCATGTTAAAGAATGCAGTACACTCTTCAGAAAACAGTAGGGGATTGTCTCCTGGTGTACTGCTCAATCAAGGACCCTACTGGAATATAAAGTTTCTTCAGATTTTAGGGGGCTTTCCTTGTTTACACCGATAAAATCCTCTCATCCATTCAATTTTTATTTTGCAAATGTGTTTCATAGATTATTGTTTATATTCTCATTTATTTAGTATAAGAGCCTGAACATGATGCGGGCACATTTCTTCACCGTGATTGCGAATCATTCGGTTTTTGAGGATCTACCGATGAGGTATTTATAAGACTGCCTTTCTTTTTCTTATAAAACAAAAGTGTAAATATCAACCAAAATTCAAAGGGAGAGCCGTAGGATTAGTCCTCAGCTATATGTTGCATGTGGCGCAGCGTGTAGGTGTTGGACTTTCAATGGGAATGCTAAAATTACATAAAAAATTAAACAATTTAAATAGGACAATTCTGGCTTGCCAGTCCTCATTTGCATATGTCACTGTGATTGGGCAACACAGCAATTTACTTTTTGGCCTCAGAAATCCATAGAATATATGATGTGATAGAAATCTATATATTGTATAATATAATGGTTACTTAGCATCCCAAACAAAAATTTAAAAAATAGTAATTAAATAATTTTGTCTGAGTTCATATTGTTATAATATTATCTATTTTTTTTAAATCCTTGTAGACTGCTTGTATTTAAGGCATTGTCTGATCATGGTAAGAATTTACTACATTTTGAGGAAGACACTGGACCGTTTCTGCTCGTCTGGATGCCAGATGTGATTAGCTATGGCAGGTAGCTATTCCTTCTTTTTCCATCACAATGTGACATGGTTTTAAATCTTAAATTATTTTTGTAATCTTTTGGTGTGTCATTTTTTTTAATGTTTATGAAACATTTTTTTGTAGGACCTCCGAGTTCTTACCTGTGCTTCTGAATGTAATCAAGTACAATAGCTGTTACTTAGATGATGACATCGTGGAAGGACTCGTCAAGTAAGACACATTAATAGGCGGATTCAAGGGGGGCCCAACCAGCTCGGGCCCCACTTGTTAACATTTTTTTTTAAATTAAGAAAAAAGAAATTCGACTAAAATTTTGAGTCTAGGAGTGCTGTTTCTGGCCACCTAAAGGTGCATAATCATAATTTTTTTTACCTCAGCTCCAACCATGGTGGGCTGAGGTAGTATAGGCCTCTCCGGGCCCCCTCTATTTCAAATTCCTGGATCTGCCACTGATATTTTATTGTTTTGTAGTTAACCAAATTGTACTATTATTATATTTCAAAGTATTTGTGAATATACTTGAACAATACACAATAATAGACAATACACAAGGAACCCTGGCCCTTTATTTAATCTTTATTTTGAAAATCACAGTTGTACTTTTGTTTTTGAAAAAAAAAAAATCATTGAGAATTTTGCGATTTTCACACCCGTAATTGGGCGTCAACTCATCGCAAAAGTCGGGAAAATTAAGGGGCGCGAATAAAAGGGCTTTACAGCATACCTGACTGGATATGGATTTGACATATTAATAATCATTTCCTCTTCAGGCACACCTGCTCTGTCTGTATGTTGCCTGAACCAGAAGGAGATATTGAGCAAGCCTTGGCTGTATTGGATGCTGTCGTCTGCTACAGAAACCTGCCTACAGAGTCACTACATCGCTTCATCACAACGCTGTGCAGGATGCTGAGTGTGGAAGAATTCTGTAAGGCCAGTTGGGAGGTACTGTAATCAATTAATCAACTGATATTAATCAGCATCCATGTTATTCTGAATTCCTCTTATTCCCACAATCCTCTTCATGCTTTGAAATTAAGAACTTCATCATGACGCATGCCTTATAGAAATAATCTGAGCCGAGCGGTCGGCTAAGAGGTGTAGTGCCTGCTTGTGCTGAAGAAGTCCGTTCAAACCAGGCCAGCGTCTGGTTTTAATTATCGCTGTCTTATCGCTTGCTCCCCTCATTGTTGACAATGTTTGTATCCGTTGTGTTGTAGTTAAGCCGGGTTGGTGTTACACAGTGGCTGCTGCAGGGACTCTAGGGGCCCAGCCGAAATTTCTGATTTCCTATTACTGGAATGAGGACCATTTAAGAATTGTTATATTATTATTATTATTATTTAATTATGCCTATCATAAAAAACCTCAGCTATGTAGCTTTCCTAGATGCACTACAAGTTATGTTACTACTGTACAATTACTGCTACTGAAAAACAACTCTGTTTTATTCATTTCCATTGCATTTATACCCCTTGTGTGCTACTGCTACAATTACTTGCTACTGTTTAAAAAACTGTTTGCAATTTACAATTAATTTACTTCCAAATTTTTTATCTTCCAGAACTTTAAATTATTACCACTACAGTGCACTTACTGCTATATAACAGCGACTTTAATGTTAATTTCAACAATGTAACTCCTAATATATTTTGTACAATTCTAATTTTCAGCTGATGAGAAAAATGTTGGGTACACATCTTGGCCATGGTGGTATTTATAAGATGTGCTGTATTCTGGAAGATAGGTAATTTTAATTGATAGGTTGATAACATTATTGTGACTTCTTTGTACTAATGTATATAATAATAATACAATACTGCCATATTCTTATGCTAATTACTCAATTTAACAATTAGCAAGAGTACGCTGGTTTTGGGAATGGCAGGCTTACATATGAGACATGTCGTGGCGAAATGGTTAAGTTGTCGCACAATCCAGTATTGAGTAAATGAGCTATGAAATATGGGAGCTCAAAAAATTGCCTAAAAATCCAAATTTGTTTTTCACTATAAATCAACAGATTAATGTCTTATTAATCATATACCAAAGTATTAGTTCTGGAAGTGGTCAAGAAATTGTTTATTTAATGTTATTTTGATAGTTCATTCTATTAAACAGTGTATGCACAAATAACTTTGAAAGGCAATTACTCAAAATCATGTTTATCTTGATTGTACTTTCACTTTCCAATAACTTAGTCTTGAAATATTCAATTTCAATGAATGACCCCTCATTTTAAAGATCACATACTCAGGTATCTGAAAATACCAATAACTTGAATTTCAATTTTTGCTACAACTTAGCCATTTTGCCACAGCATGCCTCATATTAGAATGCAGTCTGATGATCTTGTCTTCATTAATGTGATTTCAGGCAGAACCTTCTGGAACCGAAGCTGCTGAAAGGTGCTGTGTTTTTCATTGGCATGGCATTGTGGGGCTCTGGACGAGTGCCGTCCCTGAAGTACAGTCCAACTTCTGTCCTACCATCATTCAAACAGGTATTATTTTTTGTGTAATTTATATCTTTTACTTTCACAGCATATGATTATATTTGATTCCCAAGCATATACCTACAGAGTACTAAATACTCATCATGGTTTATGTTCAACAGCTCTTCTAACAGTATGTCGCTAAGTCGGCCAAGAGAATACGATGCCCCTCATCGAATGTTGTTTTTTTTTTTCTCTTTTATGAGTACATGTAATTCAGCCGTGAGGCTGCGAATTGTATGAAGTTGTCAACAGTAGAAGTTCATGGAAGCTCTTGGGTACTGTTTCATGTTTATGTAACAATTTTGTTGATTTAAAAAAAGGAAGAAATAATGTGACGAAAGCAATCATATTTTTTTTCTCATATAATTTTCTTAAGTTTTTGGAATTTATATAGGATTTATATGGGCATGACATTCAGTTTTTCAGAATCCTTTACCACTGCATCACACAGTTTAAGTTGGTTTGCAAAATTTTCTTAGGAGTTGGGTTTTATGCTCTCTTTTAATTTTGTAAAGAAAGTTTCATATGAACTCAGCAAGAAAATATCTTCAATTTATATTTTTTCAACCATGTTATGGTGAAGTTTGTTGTCAAATTAGTATTATTTTGCTTATTTTAGGCTTTAGCCTGCAAGAATGCATCGGTAGACAATGAGGTTGGACTCAACATTAATCGACTGGTTAAGAAATATGGCCGCCATCTCCAATTAGTCACTTGGGACAGTATATTGGAGATAATTGCAATATTGTTCAAAAAAGTGCAGGTAAGAGGAGATAAGTAGACATGTATGATAACATGCGTTGATGAAGACATTGAATAGTGTACTGTAAAACCTCTAATAACACATTGCTTTATTAGTAAACCCCTCTAATAGTAACTCACCCTAGAAGCAAATTTGTAATGATAACCCACTACTTTAATAATAACCTGTCACCAAAACTATAGACAGAATGACATTCAAATCCAGTTAAATCAATGAAATGTTTTTGACTGATGCTGTTGTTACAGTTTATTTCTGTGAATGGCTGATGCGAAAAAGCTGGGGTCGGGTAGGTTGGGGTTTACTATTTTCCTTCAATAAACTTTGTAATAGTAACCTACTCTAATAGTAACCCATACTCTGATAGTAGCCCACCCTAAAAAGCAGTAAAAGATTAGTAACCCTTGGTTATTATTGAAGCTTTACGGTATCTCTATATAAATGTGTGTGTATGTATATATATA